AAAAAATATGAAAATGACTTTATGCTGAATTTTTAGGTTCATATTTTTCCTATTTTCATTAGTCAATTACTCATTTTCAGGATTTATCAATTTTTTTTTGTTGAAAACGGGTCGGGTAGTTTATTTAAAAGGGGGTATATCTAAACCTTTTCGAATAGTTTAGGGGTATATTTGACCCTTTTCCCTTTAATATAAATGTCACGTGGTAATGTAAAAATGACGTACAATTCCATTTGGCATTTAATGCCCATAAGGGCATATCTAGACGAAAAGTTGGACGGCGAGGGCATGAGTGAACCAAACTTTAAACGGGGTATATCTAGACCTTTTTAAATAGTTTAGAAGCATATTTGACCCTTTTCCCAAAATAAATAAATAAATTAGGAGCGGACAGTTAAATAGGATGGGGTACAATTTTTATTTTTATTTTAAAAAAATAATATCAATATTTTTTGGCGAATGAGTGGGTGGTTTGGGAGAGGGTGAAGAATGAAGTAGGTTTTTCAAATTAATTAATAATAAGTGAGAAAACCCTTGGTTTGGTGGACTCAGAAAGATGTCGTACTTGTTGCCTCACCTTCACTCAGGATGGGCCGTCGATCAAGCCATTCTCGCTGAAGAGGAACGCCTTGTCATTATCCGCTTCGGCCATGACTGGGACGAAACTTGTATGCAGGTATTCATGCCCCTAATCTCGAATTTTTGATGGGTTCTTAAGTTTGTTAGGAAAACCCTAGTTTTTCTATATTCTCGATTATTCTAGTTTTAACCATAGAACCTGTTTGATTGAGGTGAACCATCCAAGTTTTGTTCTTGCGAATTTTGTTTGATTAATTTCTTAGGATAGTCAATTAGTTGTGATATTTCTGTAATGTTTATTGATATTCCAATTTAGATATAGAATTGTATTTATTAACGAATAACGTTGCAATTGCATAACACAATTACAAACATAATGAACATTTGCAGAATACCGAGAAACAGGCTAAGGATATGAGGTTTTTCTTCATTGAACATGGACAATAATCTGGAATATGACTTCGCCTGGTATTTACGATAGATAGCTAAATTGGACAGCTGGAATATTCCATGTCCTTTCCTCGTAAACCCTCTCAAAAAACCCCATGTGGGTCTCTAGTGCTTCTACAACTATATATGAGTTTAGTTAACCAAAGAAACTTTTGGAGACTAAAATAACTAGTTGAAAGACATCTAATTAACCCGAGACTGTAAACCTGATTGCAAATCTACCCAAAATTGCTGCATTCCATCCCCTTAGGAGACGTTGTTCTCAAGGTTGGAAATGAATCGAACAGTGATAATCAATTTCCTCCCAATCAGTAAATTTACTCATTGCGTCTGCAAATGTTATTGTTCTTAAGTCCATCTAATGTTATTAAGAGTTGTAATAGCTCAAAATATAAGTTGGGTAATATGGGTCCTATTCGGGTTGTGCTAATTCCATATGAATCATTACTGAGAAGCATGTGCCCATTGCTCCTGCAATGGCTCAAGTATTGGTGTTTTCTGCCACTTGAACATATGAGAAATGTCACAACTAAATACAACCATCTAAGAAGAAACCCCAGGGCGGAGAGGACTATTGCTTTATGACATTGAATATTGACATCAAATGCTTCTACTCTCGGTTGAAGGACAAGAATGCTCATCTCTCAGCCTTTGTTTTCCAAGCCAAGGCTAATAGCTGCAGTAACCTTATTGCTGTAATTTCTAATTAAGGTGAAGACATCTTCCGGAAAAAAGGTTAAGATAAAGATAGCTGTAACATCTACGGTGTCTTGATGTCCTTGAGTAAAAGTGCCCCTTTTACTAGCTCCAATCTTTGAAAAAGTAAAACTAGCTGGATAGATATAACATACACAATGCTCCTACTATCAGCTTTCTATCCTTAAAATGATATGACTTTTCCCAAACCATGTTCCTGTGGATTACTCTAGCTAGACTGATTCCTTCTTTCCCACTACCAAAGGTACTAGGGGAATCAAAAGCACTTGACCCTTTCCAACTTTCATTTTGGTCTGATATTTTTCACTACTCTGTGGTTTGATCCACTGGCTGACGCCATAATGATCCTCCTGCAACTTATTTACCCCCCTTAAAGAAACATTTCTTTTTATTCCAAGTAGTGCAAAGTGCAGTGGCATACACAAAATATTTTGTAAGCGTTGTTGAGATTTAGTGAAAGTGGACAAAACAATTTTATGAGGAAGCTTCATATAGCCAACATATGCTACGTATGCTTGTTCAACCCATAATCTATCAACCACTTGTTTCTTCATTGCATTGACTGAGCCATGCCAGGCTCCTTGAGAGAAGCTTTTGTGTGTTGGAGTTCCTAGAAAATTGGGATGTCCATCGAAAAGATTTGGTCTTTGGTTCCTGCTTGTATCCTGTGGTGTTAATGGATAGAGAGGAACAAAGGGTGTTTTGATGGCATCTCAACTCCCATTTCCTCTCTTAAGACTATTTGTTTGATTAGTCTTTTAGTTGGGTAAAACCACTCCTCTGTAATTACTGTTGAATCTTTCCTAGAATTTATCAGTTCCATAGATTTATGTTGAAAGTTGTGATAGCTTTTGTTTGCCTTACTGAGAGCTGATAATCTCTTTGTAATGCTTGCGTCTTCTTGATGCTTTTTCTTAATGGTATCCTTCTTATTTCATCAAAGAGAAAATTGTTATAACATCATATTAACAGCATAACTATTCAAATCATATTAGTAAAACATAAATTGTATAAATCACTACAACTCTCCCTCGGTGAGTTTCATATTTTGAAATGTATTTATAATAGTCTCATTAGATATAGTGCTAAACACCTACGTTACCTTCTCAAAAAAAAAAAAATAGTACTAAATACTTATTTTTCTATATAAGCTCTCTCAACTCTTGCAATACTTCCCTCTACAAGTTTTCATATTTCTAAATGTATTTAAAACACTAAATAACCATTCAAAAACTCTTTGACTAATCTTTGTACTTCTAAATGTACTTATGGCACCAAATAACCACTCAAAAGCTTATCATTCATTTATTTTGTATATCATGCTTAAGTAACTTCATTGCCGAGAAAGCTCTCTCAACTGTACCAATTGCCAGTTGCAGAAGTATAACAAATTTCACAAGAAAACACAGGGATAAGTTCCATGCTTCTTTGTCACTACTAATTTCTTGATAAGATCACCAAGCCTCTTAATATTGATAAATCTTTTATCATGATCCCGATTCCCGCACAATAAAAAATTAATTAGATAAATGCCAAAAAAATACAGATAATTTATTTCACAACGAAAAATAATGGTTGTCCAAAAACAAATTAAACTAGAAATTAAGAAGAGAGTAAAAAAACTAGTAAGAGAACTTTAAAAAGTAGTGCATGCCCTCCTAGAATGAGTAATTTTTTTCCTAAGAGGTTTTAGTATCTTGGATTATCCTGTTTCAGATTGAGTCAAGTAATTTGCTGTCTAAGTCGTTATGCAAACAGTTTCTTGGTTGGCCGGTGTGCTTGACCCACCGTCTCTTCAAGATTGCTACTGGTTGAACCAGAAATTGATCATCTTTGCTCAGCACATATATACCTGTGTGCAATACAGGGTGCACTAGGGTCAGAAATTCAGTCCAATCTGTATGCCACCTTGCCCTATCCAGAACCTTGAAGGGCCATATAACTTAAACTTCAATTTTTTCCGGATCATTTGTATTTTCTTGATGTCGGACTATAAATTCTCACTCAGTTTTGTGGCATATCTGCATTAAATTACATTCTTTCTTGTGCTTTGCTTTTGATTGTCTTTCAGTAACTGCTGCATTTGTTGCCTCTGGGTTAAGAAATCCTTTGCTGCTGGTACATTAGCTTTTAATAAGGGTCCAATTGATATCTTGGGTGGTGACTGGTGAAGATCCATTCCATGTTTCAAATGGTGCACAATTCAAACAGTTATGGAAGTTTGAATTGTAACACTTCAGCTAAACCAAGCCATTGCTTCCACTGTTTGAGCCTATGATCTTCATGCATCTCAGATAGGTATCTGTAAATTCATTCACTGTCTAAGCCTGTCCATCTGATTGAGGGTGATAAGGTATGCTAACATAGTTGTGTTCCCAGTAACTTGAAATAATAATTCCTGCCAGCAGTTGCTCTAAATTATCCCATCTCTGTCAGAAAGGATGGTTTCAGGGATTTAATTTAGCTTCTGTACCCCTTCGTCAACCTTTCTACTATCACAAAATGAACCTCTTCCAAGGCTGGTGAAGAGGTAAGAGTTATAGAAGCCCTAGATAGGATATGTTTTCTTTCTTGCTTCTCTGATACACTTCTTCACGACAGCTACCTTGGGTTTCACATTTTCGTTAAAGTTATTTCAGGAGAAATGCTCCTAAATGTGCCTACATGACGTGATTACCCACCTACTGGTGGTTCATGCTTGAGTATTTGATGTCTTAATTCTCCTGTATTGCCAACATACATTTTTCCTTCTCTTCGTGGTACTACAGATTGTAAGCTAGATATGTCGCTTCTCTGAATCTGTGGTGTGAGCTATAAGTAATTAGGTCTGTACTCTGTACTCTGTTGCTCCTTCATAGCTGTGTTGAATCTTTTGAACCCATGTAGGACAATAACTTGTGGCCTGACACCCTTCAGGGTGGCCCAGTGGTTTGGGCTTGGGACTTCCATGTTGGAGGTCTCAAGTTCGAAACCCCTTGCTAGTGTAAGCAAGGGGTTTACCTTGTGGGTTGAGCTCGTCACACTGGGCTTGCCTAGTGCGGGTTACCTCTCCTGTGTGGTTTCCGAGCTATTGCATAGGAGCGGGGGTTTTACCCTGTGCTTACCCAAAGTGTAGCTGCTGCGGGTTTCCTTTGTCATTAAAAAAAGAAAAATAACTTGTGGCCTGTAACCCTCCAGTCTCTTTGTGCATAGCCTCATCCTCATTTCTCTTTGATAGTGGATCAACAACTCTATTTTCAGGTCCCTGTTATTTGGGTCTCATAATCCAGACTGCAGCTTAGTGAGCTATTTTCAGCTCGCTGTTATTTGGGTCTCATAATCCAGACCATGCAGCTTAGTGAGCCCTTTTTGTTAAATAAGCAGTAATGACCTTCTGTTCCACCCAATTCTGCAGGTAAGGTGATCACCTCTTATAGTGCAGATAGTGCCTCCACTTGTCTATAACATTCAGTGGTGTCATAAAATCTCTCATATCTAGATTTTCTCTGATGTCTAGGTGCTTGAGCTTGTTCAGAATGCTATTGGGCATCTTTTAATACAGCCCCCTACACCAGATTGACATGCATTAGTTTCCACCATGAAAACCTGATTAAAGTCAGGTACTGCCGGAACTAGTGCATTAGTCATTTCCTGTCCAGTTTAATTGGATGTGGATTGTTTTTTCTGCTGTTAATTCTTTGTGTTCTCCATTTCAGTAGCTTCTCACATCGGCTTTTAGTGATATCTTCCCAGACCTCTCTTTTATCAGCAGCTGTTTTTTAGTTGGTTGGGGCAATATGGGCATACTTGATGTTTTTAATTGATGCATTACTTTGCAGTAACTTAACATCATTTAGCTGCTCTCTTCTCCTGAGGAGGGTTCACAGTGGCATATTGATTCTTTCACTTCCTCTTTTTTTTTCCCTTATCATATTTCCATGCTGTAAAATTTGTAAAAATCTCTTATGTTGTTTTATCTGGTTTGTATTTCTTCTGGCATTTCAGATGGACGAGGTGCTGGCTTCAGTTGCAGATACATTAAAGAATTTTGCTGTGATATACCTGGTGGACATAACAGAGGTCCCTGATTTTAACACGATGTATGAGTTGTACGATCCATCAACTATCATGTTCTTCTTCAGGAACAAGCACATCATGATTGATCTTGGCACAGGAAACAATAACAAGATCAACTGGGCACTCAAAGATAAACAGGAGTTCATTGATATTGTTGAGACAGTGTATCGCGGTGCACGAAAGGGTCGTGGTCTAGTTATTGCACCAAAAGATTACTCTACCAAGTATCGTTACTGAGTGTATGTTGATATTGTATTTTGTTTGTGGAATATGCTGCACTTTATGACTGAACTGTAACATACGGTTGCTAAGTGGTTTCCATTAGACCGATTCTGTTGCTTTCAAGATCCAAGTGTACAATAACTTTCCATTGTTGCAAGTGGAAAGACTAAACTCTTTGTGAAACCATGTTATGATCTATCTATTATATTGACCTTTCTGTAATTGTGGTTTCCGCTTCAGAATGCTAATTAGGGAAAATATTTAACTGTTTAGGTAGCTATTATTCTCTATACAATTTACTTATTTCAATTAATTCTACCAATGCTATAGAGAATAGCATTTCCCATCCCCAGTTCCAATAATGGGATGGTTGGATCCTTTGTTAATGCAATGGAGGAACCATTCATTAGCTTGGTGTTTTTAAGATAAAATAATTTTTAAATACTTTTCTAGTGTTTTGAGTTAAATAAAAATGTGATTTTAGGCTAAAATTTCAAAATAAGCTACAGGTCATGAGTTAAAATTCCTTGTGACTTTTAACTTTAAGTCAAAAGCTATAAGTCCATTCAAATGGGCTCTTAATTTAGTGTGCATGTGTGTGTGGTTGACCACATTTTGTGTCATCCGTTTGGTTTGATAACAAGATATGCTGGGATTAGATATGTTGTTTTTTGAGAGAGATTAGGACAAGAACTGATTAGATTATACAATAACTTTTAAAAATTGATTGGACCATATAATAATTTAAACTTTACATTTTATGTTACAAGATTTATTTATACGTTCATCTTCCGGAATGAAATTTCTCACAATTTTCTGTCCTGGTTAAACAAACTATGAATCGTCCCCGTGAGTTCCACTAGTGCCATACCAATCATATACCATGTAACACCTGCCAGAATGACCTTGAGCCATGGGCTGTTGACAATGTCTAATGCTAGAGAACCACCAATATGATCGTTGAGTCTAACAGTCGTTTCTTCTCCAAGTTTTATCCAAACTATAATTGCTGCTGCTGTTGCTGTTGTGAATGGCACTACCCCGAGCCAGGGACTACCTTGATGTTTCTCCTTAGGTGAGAAAGCTTCATCATAGAATTCCACCGGTAATTTGGGGAAGGAATCAACTTCATCTACTACCAAACTAGTGTCTGTTGGTACCGCAAGTTCAGGAGTTGATGGAGACCAATACTCATCGTTGCTACTTTGATTAACTGTTGATTTTTTGACTTGTTTCATAGCTTCTACAACATGTCTGAGCTTCTTAACATCGGGTTCAATTAGCCTTCTCCTAACTGGTACCAAAGCATGGATGGCTTCTGCAGCTCCTCCAATTGGTGATTGCCAGTAGAATAAATTTGACATTGCTCGGATTGCTTGAAATGCTGATATTCGTGCCTCTTCTGAAGCCTGAAAGATAGTAACAGTTGTAAATTGCTTTGTTTGCATAAAAAAAAGAAGAAGAACAATTGTTAGGTTTACCTTAGGATTGGTTTTGTTGAAGGCACCTTGATATCTGCTCTGAAATTTGTCTAGATCATCAAATATATTGGAGGTGCGAGCACCAACTGTATTGCCAGCGCCAATTCTAACATTGCCTCGGGGCTTCTTGGACATTAGGAATTCAAGTGCAGCCAAATTTGACCTCTCAACAACTCTATGAAAATTTTCACATGTAAGAAAGAAAGAAAGAAAGAAAGAATTCAGAATAATATTATGAATTACGATAGTAGTATATATATATATATAGTATGTCTTACGAGATGCAATCAACTGGACATGCATCTATAGCTTCTTGAATTTTGGATTCTGTATCAGCCCATTGAGCAACAACTCTGGCTCTTCCATACAAACATTCAACAGCAAATGTATTTTCAGCCAACAAAGCACATTTTAAGCAGCCTACACACTTTACTTCATCAACAAACACAGCTCTTTCTTCATTATCTTCACCACACCATGCCGAATACAAAGGTTTTCCTGTGTACCCCTTTAAATCTGCTATTTTTGTCACTTCCTGCATCATACACAGACATCAAAAAGAGAAACATATATATCAACTCTTGCCTTTTATTTTTTATGTCTCCCCTTCCTAGACGCTAATTAAAGCATGCTTCATGTAAGAGCAGTACAAATGCTGATTGCTGTACAAGAAGTTAAAAAATATTTTTTGATTAATTGATATATACTAGCTAATTTGTTAATCTATATCATACATTAATTGAGTCTTCTCGACATTTTAGACTCATATTTTTATGTTTCCCCTTCCTAGACTCTAATTAAGAGCATGCTTCATTTGATACTAGCTAATTAGCTATCTATATCGTACATTAATTGAGTCTTCTCGACATTTTAGACCCGGGTTAAACATAGACGTTTTACCAACTCAAATATAAATGATCTAATGCATTAACATATGGATTAAATGCATCTCTTATCTCCATGGAATAACAGTGATTTCTGTAAAAGGTGCACAATACAACAAGGGAAGTATATGGACTGACCTTATCATAAGCCATACGTGCAACAGGATCAGAAAGAAGAGCATAAGCTTGATTGAGTATAATAGCCATTTCATGTCCAGATGGTCCGGCGATATCCGGGTGGCATCGCTTCTGAAGCGTCCTATAGGCTAGCTTAATCTGTGCCTGGTTAGATGAACTTTCAACTCCAAAAAGATCATACAGGTCAAAATCAGTGATTGAACTACTATTAGCTCTGCATATGACAGAAGTATTTTTGTTATGGGATTTCCATGAACTTGGAAAATGAGCTCTTTGATTTAGAAATTTGTTTATGCTTTTTGTGGGAATGGTTTGTATGGGCAGAGTAGAAGAATGCATTTTTTCCACAGGAAAATGTGGTGAAAAAGGGTAAGGCCTTCTTCCTTTTAAGTTTGGGGGCAGATATTTCTTTTGTGTGGAAGATATTTGCATATTGCACATCACAAGAGTTCGAAAAGTTTAAATTTGCTTCCAAAGTACTAGACTTTATAGACATAAAACTTTTATATATGAAAAAGAAAAAAAAAGAATTCCCCTAGTTTTAATTCAATTATGTCTTTCTTTTTAATATTATTTATTTTGTATTTTAGTAACTTTTAATTTTAACATATTGTTATTTTATCCTTTAACGATCTCCTTTGTAGGAATGTTATGATATGATTAAGGCAAAAAGATAGAACTATTTTTCGATATATATTATTATTCACCCCTTTAGTTTAGATCATAAAATCTATTTAAAATAAATAAATTATATTCTTAAATTTTGTATTCAACCAAACTAATAATCTTATCTTATCTTATACATATATATAAAAGAAAAACTCAGGGCCGCTTACGTGGCACGTTATGTTGGTTTAATATATCATAAATACAATAAATTACAGTTGAAAATAAAATAACTAAAATAAATAAAAAAGTATTCAGGCTAAGACGTGAATATCTCGCTCTCTTTAAGTAGATTAAAACCCACTATGACATATCTTACATTGATATAGTAGTATATCTTTTGACTTGTCCCCTTCAGGACACAACAACCCAACAATATTGTACAACTCAAACAACTCCGGATTAATTGAAGATCCAAAACTCAACCAAAAGAATACACTCCTTCAACATATATTACTTTCTTTTGTATAGTGAATTAGTCGAAGACTTAGAATATTTTTCGCTCAACTCTCTCTTTCACTTAATCTCAAAACAATATAGTACACCTCATCTTTTTCACTCTATGTTTTCCTTGTATATTTCTCTTATTCTCAAAACAAAGTAAAATCATCACTATTTACAGGTCCTTGCAATTAGGGTTGTTCCTGGTTATGCTTAAAAAAACAAATCAAACCGCAATCAGAACCAAATCGATTAAAAAATTGATATTTGATTTGGTTTGGTTAGGTTTGGTTTAAATTTTTAAAATCGATACTATTTTGTTTGGTTTTACTAAAAACAAACCACAAAAATAATCAAATCAAACCGAGAAATTAAATATATAAATTTTATAATTATTTATATATTATTCGTAAATAAAATACAAATATTTTGTTAAATTTTAATTAACTTAAATCTTCAAGTTTACCATTTACTCAAGCCCAACTTACAATCCTAAGTCCAAGACCATCAAATCCATTACTTTAGTCTTTACCTACCGTACCTCACAAAAGATAGTCACACTTTCTCTTAATTGAATCAATTTGTTCGTGTAATAATAACTCTAGGATTGTTAAATTGAACTCACAATAGCTTTCCTGTGGATTACTCATGTACTATGTGTATGTGTCTATCGAGATACGTATGCCCTCAAAAAGTTAATTACTTTCAAATCAAAAATTGAAAAACCGAATCAAATCGATAATACCCAAACCAACCGTTCTTTTTTCGTTTGGCTTGGATTGATTTTAGAAATTTAAAAACTGACTAGATTGATTTGATTTTGGTTTTAATCAATAACTGATCCAAACCGAACAACGAACACCCATGCTTGCAATGGATAGGAAGATAATAAGGTAGTAAATTGGGTAAATAAATGTCCCAAAGATTACATATATATATAAAGAGAACCATAGGCCCGCCTATGTGGCGCCACCACAAACTAGGACTCCCTTTAAATTTATTTATTTACAAAAATAGTGTTCCACTTTCATGAAAAGTTGTGACTTTTATGAAGAGTTGTGACTTTTATGAAGTCTGTGACCTTCCGATAAGGCACAATAAGCATTTGTTCACATTACCCTTTGTTGTCTATAAATAAAGGGATTTCCTCTCATTTTAAAACAACGAAAATTCTAAAGTTCTTGTTCTTCTTCTGCACAATTAAATATTTGTGTACTCTGCTCCTGTTGAGTGGCTTACTGGCACCATTGTTTTTGTATCAATACACTGGTGAATAGAATCGTTCCATCATGAGAGGATCTATTCCTTTAAACCTCGGGTACTAGAGGGGAATAATTTCCTTATGGGGACAGTGTGCATTCAATGGGATCGTTTTTTCTTTTGTGTTTCATTCTATTGTTACAAATCCTATTATGTTTTTTACAATCATTAATTTATGCTTATGATATTAATTGTTATTTTTGAGTACATGTTTTAAACTTTGTTTTTTATGTTTCTACAAAGTTATTGTTATAATTATTTGTTAGTACAGATTAAATAACACACGTTAATTGAGCATTCACACAACTTTTCTTTACTGAAAGTGTATGATAAAAAAATTCCTTAAAGTTCTATACTACCATCTCTTGAAGATAAAATTCAAATTTGGTATGCCATTGTAAAGACATAAAGACCTTAAAAACTTTATCGCACATTGATGTGCGAAGTGAACCAGGAAAAGAAGACAAGAATTAATAAACTATTGACATAGGTTCAAGGATGTGCCGGATGACTTATAGAGGAATATGACTAGACTGTAGCCTCTTTTAATACCAAAGACATAGATAACTACACAATAAATTAATTGCTCATATTCAATATGAAGTATGGAAAGATTCTGAAGTTCACTGCAAGTTGTAAATATTTTCCTTGAAGTAATAAATGTGTTTCTCGACACTGCGATTGGAATAAAAGTGTAGTTTCAAATTGAACTCCATCACTCTGGTATGTTGATTTTAAAAAAATACCGAAACAAGCTGAATATTTTTGTGTAATATTTTTCCCTTTCAAGTATATATAATAAGTTGAATTGTTGTCCGAGATGATACATTCTCCCTTTAATTTTCCATTTTAATAATTACTTATCATACATTAAAATGGGGATATTTTAAAAGATATATGTAAAACAAAAGGTAGGGCTGAACTTTCTACACGTTAGAATTAGAATATTTGTTCACTTTTTTCAGCATTTTAAAATTTATTTATCCATTCACCAACGATTATTCATTCATTAGAAAATTTAATATTTCAGGTTGATGTTTATTTGATTCCCCAAAAATATCAAATAGTAACACTTCCTTGAAGCAAAAGGATAAATTCTAAAATCAAATTAAAGATGAGTGATTTAAGGATAAATGATAATATGTTATAATTATCATTTTCCTTTACATTATTAATGTTCGTTACTACGTAATCTTGTATGTAAGATAATATAGTGTTTTCATTTTAATGACTGCTAAGTTTTAAGTATTATTTTATAAATTCTGTGATACTAAATTCTCGCGCGAGATGCGGATAATTTTACTAATTAAAAGATATAATTAGGCAGAATAATGAGTGAATAATTATCAGAGTTATGAGGAAAATTATATCCACCAACTAATGTGAGTAAATTGGCATAAAGAGCCACTCATATTGAAGTGGAACCAACAAATGAAATGTTGTTGCGCAATCACATTTCACATGAGTCATCTTACTTAAATATTGAAATGCTCAAATACTCAGGGTGTGTTTGGTATGAAGGAAAATATTTTCTGGAAAATGTTTCTCAATTTTTGTATGTTTGGTTGACTTAAATGATTTGGAAAATATTTTTCAAAACAACTTATTATCCTCAAATTTAAGGAAAATGACGTCCCTTGAAAACTTAAGGAAAACATTTTACAAAACTCTACATTATCTTTAAATTACAATATTTTTTTTTCTTACACTACCCCATATCCAACCCTCCCCATAAAAAAAAGTAAATTTTTTAAATTTCAAATATTTTTTACCCTATCCCCAAACAAGCTCCCGCACCCCTACCTTACAACCAAACCCTCCTCCCCCAAAGAAAAAAAAATTAAAAATTATTTTTGAAAAATATTTCAAATTTAAGGCTCTTTTTACTATACCCAACCCCTACCCCGTCCCCCACAATTTTTTTTTAAAACAATTCATTTTTTATCCCACCCCATACCCTCACCCTACGACCCTCCCCCCGGTCAATTTAAAAAAAATAAAATATTTTTCTAGTCTCAAGCCAAAAATAAAAGATATTCTCTGAAAAATATTTTTCATTTACTAACCAAACATTAAAAAAATAAAAAATTCTACTCACCAACCAAACATGAGCAAATAAGTTAACGATCCACTTGTTTTTCAAGAAAATACTTTCTAGGAAAACATTTTCCTTCATACCAAGCACACCCTTAAACTACATTTTGCTCCAACGCGCTCAAATGAGTGCCTTTATATTCGTTTTTACCTATTTTTTTGGGTAATTTCTCCTCATTCCATATAAAAAATAGAAGATAAGGAAAAACAAATATTGGTTCGGCTCCTACAAATCGTCTAAATTTTTTAATAACTACCGACGTGAAAGAGCTGTCCTTCTGATAACCTACCTCCTTAATAGAGCAGTGCAAATAATGACCAACAGTCCCTTTACTTACATCTGATTGTTGGATTTTGAGTTCTTGCATTGTAAGAAATTTTCTTTTGGGAGTTCCTATATTTCACAATTCACCGTTTTCCCGATAGTCAGTGTTTTTGATAATCGTATTGCTTGCTGCTTTGTTGTTCAAATTTATCTGACTAGTTTGTTTAACTGAATCACGGATTGCCTTATGCTCGCATTGAATTCCTCATTTTGAGTTTTAATAGTTTTTCTAACAAGTCTTGGTTCTCCCCTTCAATAATAATACGAAAAGCTAATTTCAACCAAATGTACTTTGTTCTTCATCAATTGTTCTATTTGAATTAGTATAGTTATTTTGGTGCTTCATGATGAGTTGGTATTTTACGGAGTCATTGCACTCAAATTCATGAATTATTGAATGCCGATTGAGGGGATATTATGCCCTAGTTCTTTTGTATGCATGCATTCTTTGGAAAAAAGTAAATTTGATGGATTTGAAACTTTAAAATTTCAGAAGCACACTGATGGACGAACTGACGTCCCACTGGAACCAATAGGCATCTTGCCAGCTTGAATGGAACAAAGTTGCCTCGGTACTGGCGCTACAATTTGCATGGTACAATGCTTGATCGATGATTTACCGGTCCCAATGCAGATGCTTCAATGAGAAATGAAGGTCGAAG